CCGGCCCCCGCCCCGACGCCCACCCGCGCCCCGCAGGACGGCGCGCCGGGCACCGCACGCGTGAAGCGAGGCTGGGTGTGGAACCAGTTCTTCGTGGTGGAAGAGTACACGGGCACGGAGCCCCTCTACGTGGGCAAGGTAACGCGGGCCCGGCCCTCCTTGGCCATTCTAGTCTAATTTGGTTTTGGTTGGTGGTGGGGCTTGAACTCTGGGCCTGGGCGCTGTCCCTCAGCTCTTCAGCTCAAGGCGAGCACTCTACCACTTGAGCCACGGCGCAACTTCCGGTTTTCTGTGGTTTATTGGAGATAATAGTCTCCCGGAGTTTCCTGCCCCGGCTGGCTTTGAACCTTGATCCTCAGACCTCAGCCTCCTGAGTAGCCAGGATGACAGGCTTGAGCCACTGGCACCCAGCCCTTTTTAATCTTTAATTGTGCCCTAGGATGCAGTTGTGCCCAAGTTTGTAGTCCTGTCCCAACATGGTAGCTGCCCACAAGGCCCTGGGCTGAGCCAGGCTCCTCCTGAGATCAACTGGGGGCTCCCTCCCTCTGCCTTCCTGTCCCACTGATGCCCTTGTGCCAGGCCATGCCCCCCCTCCGCCCACCCTGCCCCCCTCCTCCGGACCCGCTCCTTCCTGCTTCTGCACACCAGACCCCTTCCACTCAAACTAGGCCTCAGCTCCAATACCACTCCCTCAGAGAAGCCCCAGGCCCAGGTAGATGGCCCCCCATCCTTCACCTGTCCCCTGAGGCCCCTGGTTCCGTCCCCACCCCCTTGGCTTTAATTATGCATGGCTGGGTTTGGCTATGTGCGTCCTGTGAGTCTTGTCTGCCTGGCTGGGCTTGTTCTGCTGTTATAACCCTCAGAAACAGTTCACGTATTGTCCACTGAAAGAAGGAAGGAGTGAATGAAAGCCAGCTCTCCAAACTCTCTGAGAAAATGCTGGGTGATCAGGCTGGAGATCTGAGCTCTGAGAGTACAAAGAACTGAGGCTGAGAAGAACGTCATTCATTCATTCATTCGATTCCTGTCCCTAGCAGGGTGCCCCAGCCTCTGTCATTTGGGGGTCCCCAGAATGACAGAGATGTTGGTATAGAATTAAAGCCTACACATATAAGCACCCAGAACTTCACAGGCACTGAGGAAGGTGCTATTGGCTGGCTTTCTTAGAGAAGAAAACACCTGAAACAGGGTTTGAGGTATGAGTAGGAGTTCATCCAGCTAATGGAGAAGAGGGCAAGGACTTGGAGACCTGCCTCATGAAGGGATTTATCAGCAGTGGAGTGCTTGTGGGATGAAAGTGGGTGGTCTCTGATTTGCAATAAGGCCAATCAGCTTTGCAGGATGTTTTGATTGGCAGTTGGGAAGCCAGCTCCAGAACTCCCTGTGTGCTGAAATGAGTTTAAGAATCCAGGGCTGATGGCCGAGTGGTTCAGAGGCTCGGGGACCAGGCTTTCACAGGAGAAAGGTCTGGACGTAAACCTTAAGGTTTGCTTATAGGAAATGCAGCTTTCCTGTGGTCTAGACATGGCGATCTGAGCAATCTGTAGATCTGACAGAGGGAGCTCAGGAGGGCTTAGGGCCTCTGCCCAGGATTGGCCAGCAATCTAGTGGCAGGTCAGGGGCTGCAGGCTCCAGGCCAGGGGCCGGGGAATGGGGGGACGGGGTGAGGAAGGAGGGAGGTGAGCCCATGGAAAGTAGCTCAGCACGCAGGCGCACTGGAGCAGGACATGGAGTCTGAGGCCGGTCCTGCTACCCGGTTCCCATGCTCGGCCTTCATCAACTTCCTCTGTCTCCCCGTCTCTAACCACGGGTTTCAAGAGCCCCCTTCCCGAGGTTGCAGAGGGTTAAAGGAAACAGAGCATCCCGAGCGAGCGGCTGGCCTGCACCTTGTTTGTTCAAGGTTTGTTTTTATGGTTCCCCGATGAAGTACTTAATCCTCCATCTGTGAGGGGCAGAGGTCCGTGCTCCCCCCTGTGGATGAGGAGGCCCAGGTGGGAGTGGATTGGGGATTTGGGGGCCCCTGGTGAGAAAGGGGTGCAAGCCTGGTGGACCTGGCTGAGGTCTCACAGCATGAGGAAAAGTGAGGGTCCAGGGGAACCCCAGGGATACTGAGAGGGCCTCTGACCTCAGGTCAAAGCTGCCCCCAACAATCCCAGAGAAAGGCACAAAAGCAGCCCATGATTTGCCCCCTGCATCTGCACACCCCAGCCTGGCTCATCTCCACAGCAGTGGGCAGGCCCACACTGAGGCTTGGTTGGAAGTGGAGGGCCCACTAAGTCCTGCCTTGGTCTGTAGGGGAAACTGAGGCCTGGGGGGAAAGTTTGTGCCAAAGCCAAATGGCTTACATGCAATAGCATCAACCAAGAACAGCAGTGCCTTGCCAGGCACAGGTGGCTCACATCGGGCCTTCTAGATACTCAGGAGGCTGAGATGTGAGGATCGTGGTTGGAAGCCAGACTGGACAGGAAAGTCTGTGAGACTTTGGAGCTGTGGCTCAAGTGGTAGAGTGACAGCCTTGAGCCAAAAAGCTCAGGAGTAATACCTGGGCCCTGAATTCAAGCCCCAGTCCTGACACCCACATACAGAGAACACAGTGTCCAGACGCTAACTCTCTGTCCACTTCAAGTCAAGAATCCCAGGGCACTGGGTGGGCCCTGGGGCCTCTCCCTCCTCCCTGTGGCCTCTTGAAGCCGCTGGCAACATCTGGGTACTTTATGGTTTCTGGACATCTTCCTCCATCCCTGTCTCCCTCCCCTGCTCCCCCTTCTCCCTCCTGCTCCCCGTCCTCCAGGCCCCCTACAAGAAAGCAGGGTTTGCAGGGAGGGGGAAGTCCCTGTCTTTTTGCCAACATCTGCCCGACGCCGTTTTTCCTCCCTCCCTCCTTTCCTCTCCATTTTGCAGTACTGGGGTTGGAGTCAAGGCTTCATCCTTGCTAGGCAGGCATTCTGCGGCTTGAGCCATACCCGCAGCAATTTTTTCCTTTTTAGGTTATTGTTCAGATAGGATGCTTTTTATTGTTGTTGTTCAGACCTGGAACTTCTTACTGTGTCTCCTTGGTAGCTGGGATGACAGGTGTTTTCCCCCAGACTCAACTTAGTTGCTGAAATGGAGTCTTACTAATGTTTGGCCTAGGCTAGCCTCAAACCACGATCCTCCCATTTCTGCTTCCCAAGTATTAGCCGTGATTACAGGTGTGTGTGGCACTGCACTCCACTCCCCAAGCACACTTCCTCCTGAAGGGGTCGTGTGTGTGTGTGGTTCGGCGGATGTCCAGGGCCTGCCCACTCTGCTCATAACCCGTCTGCCTGGCCACATCTCTCATCTCTCTGTGCCTCAGTTTTCTTGTCTGTGGAGTGGGGTATTGCTAAGACCTGCTCAAACGACTGTGGTGAGTTTCCCCAAGTCAGAACCTAGCAGAGCCCCGTGGCTTGTTCTGTGCTAGGCACGTGTCCACAATTGGACACCCTGGTGTGCACACTGCACCCACACACTCTAGGAAGCCTGCCCTGGGGCCCCAAAGCCTTCTTGGCACCCCAGAATTTCACTACTAATTTGAGAGACACTGTCATCACCTTCAACATGTGAGCCCGGGCTTTTTTTTTTTTTTTTTAAGCACGTTTCCCTTGTCCATCGAGCCACCCATATAGGAGTTCATGTGTGTGCACATGTGTGCGTGCATGCGTGCATACACACACTCATACTGTGCTTCTTGCTCTTCAAGGAGAGAGGACTTCTCCGTGGTTTCAGTGCATCCGTGGCTTCCTGGTCCCCGCTCCAGGGAGCTGCTCTGAGCATCCGTCCTTGTCGGATTGCAAAGGTAGCTTAGCAACAGCACCAGGCTGAGTGAACCCCGGGCGCCCACCGTAACCTACTTCACAGGGCCTCCCTCTCCATCACTCACGCAGGGCTCCTGCTGGCGCCCGCAGGAAGCTGGGTGGCGGTCGCCCGGCCCCCATGGCTCACACCCCCGGGCCTTCCCCCCCCCCCCGCCATGGACCTTCCAACGGCAACCCCAGCACCTCCAAAGATCCGGGTGCTTGGACTAATCCCTTTTCCGAACTGTAATTTCCCCCGAGGCTTTTGGAAAGCTGGATGTGGATTTTGTAGGATTTTTAAAGAAAAAAAAATTAAAGATAGAATTATAGGGTCAGCACTTAGGACCAACTTCTGTGGGCGGTGAGCTCTATTTTAGATCTACGGCAGGATTAGAGTGGGGAGGAGCGCAGATTTAATTAAGTTGCTAATATTTAAAGGAAATTGATGAACTCCTGGTTTACGAGGAACGTGGGGCATGAGCAGACCTCGTGCCTTCTGGGGGAGGCTTTTTTGGAAAAAAATTATTATTATTTGATTTGCTTTCTGTTGAAGTCCCAGACTCGTTTTGCTTTCCATTGAAGTCCCAGACTCGTTTTATTTGCGTAGCCTCGCTGTCCGTTTAATTGTCTTTAATAAGGAAAACGTACCTCTGCTCGCATTTAATTTTGATTTAATTAGGAGGAAGTAATTAATGGCCTTGTAAATCCCACTTTTCAGCCCCCTGGGAAGGGAAGCCATTACTTTGGTGTTTTCCTGTTGTTTATGACCGAGGCCCTTGGCAGGTGGGGGAGAGGTGGAGGGAGGATAGGCATACTAGATGCCATGCTAAGAACCAGGCTATGTCTCCCCAGCCTCTGGGTGTCCTTCTCAGCTGTGTGACTTTGGGTAGGATGTGGGCCCTCTCTGGGCCTCTGGAAGTCAGTTGCAGGATCAATACAAGACATCCAGAGATAAATGGTACAGAGTGTAGAACTTTCCTGAACATTACAGGTACTCAGTAACCATCCTCCCCATTCAGCTCACGTGCCTGGGGACAGAGCCCAGACCAGCTTCTCGAAATCCCAGGAGGGTGCTGTGGTGTTCGTGCTCATTTATTCAGCGTTTGCTGCCAGGCTTGGGCTGGGTGCTGCAGGGGTAGGCACCGACAGCCATCTGCTCTGCACGCGAGGAACGTGCAACCTCATGCTGTGTGCACACCCGTGCATGCACACACACAATGCACTCACACATATGCATGTTCTCACACCTATGTATACACAGCCATAACCAATTGGCTATGCATAATTCATGCATGTGTGTACATGCAAACATGTGTGTACAAATGTACACACACACGCTCTCACAGATCCACACATACGCATGTGCGCCTGCATATGCAACGCATTTACACATACGCTCACACCCATGCACACAGGTTCACACTGCAATACACATTTGCACGTGTGTCCGCATGGCATGTGCGCACACGCACATGCCCATGCATGACGCAAGCACATGCTCAGCTTTCCCACACCTGTGTTTTCCCTGTGGCTGCCATCAGGGTACCTGGCATGTGCCGGGCACTAGGTGCTCAGCAGAATTGGTCTTAACAGCCCACGGTGGCGTGTGACAGCCGGGGACAGAGGTGTGCCACCATGAGGTGCTCAGGGGGTGTGGAGAGAGGTGCGTGTGCTGGGCAGGGCCCGGGGCTGGTGGGAGGCACTGGCGGAGGCCCCCGCTCAGCAAGCCAGGGCTGCGTCTGGTCCTGTGCAGGGAGTTGGGGTGCGGCTGTAATCCCTTCTGAGGCCAGGGAGGGAAAGGGGGGTGCGCGCCTACGTGTGCCAGGAGCCCCCATACATCTCAGGATCTTTGCAGCCCGTGGGGAAGTGATGCCGGCCCCCTTTACACATGGGGAAAGCAAGGCTTAGATGGAGGAAGCTGCTTGTCCAGGCCGTGCAACAGGTCCCTGGCAGAGCCAATGCTGGCGGCAGCGACTCTGGACTTCAAGGCCACTCTGCCTCTTGATTTGTGACTTGAGGTCCCTTTCCCAATGACGACATGGAAGCTCAGCAAGAAGAGGCCACTGATGGCCGTGGCCCATCGGGGTCAGGGCAAGACTGGTGTCAAGGTGGCCACTCGGCAGCCTTGTGGCTCAGCAGCGAGCTGCAGCCCTTCCTTCCCGCTTCCCTCCCTCATCCTCTGCTGTGGACGTGGTACTCAGACGGAGCTGATGCCCAGGGACCTCCCTCCCCCCCACCGCCACCCGGGCCCATCAGGCTCTTCCCCTGCAAGTTCAGATCCATTTTCATACTCCACCAAGTCAGGCCAGAATTCTTGCCGACAGTCTGTGGCACGTCTGACCCTCAGCTGTTGCTCAGCTTACAGCTGAGAAATGATCTAGCGAGTACAGGGCCAAGCGCCCTCTCCGCTCAGGAGCAGAGCCGGGCCCCGCTCAGATCCACAGTGCTGAGCTCTGCTTCCCCCACCCAGGCCGCTCGGCCCTGCGTGACTCTACAGTCCCCAGGGAGCAGCCCCTGGGACCCCAGCGTGAGCTCCCCGAGCATCATGCTTCACAGAACATCCATGACATCATCCCTGTTCCTCTTCCCTCCTTTCCACTCCTCCCCAAGAAGTAAGTCCCGCCTGCCCAAGAGCTGAGTGAAAATGTCCAGGGCTGCAGGGCAGGCATGGAGACCCAGGTGACTGAGAGGGTCCTGGGTGGCAGAGCGCTCAGCACTCAGTAACTCCTTACCTGTGGTCAGGTCATGCACGATCTGATTCCTTGTGTGAGAAAACCAGGCTCAGAGGCAGACTATGGACAATCGGTGAGCACTGGAGTTTGAAGTTTAGCAGGGCTGTACCATGCAGCAAATGGTTTGCCCTCTCTGTGCATTGTGTTTCACATCAGAAATGTAGTAGCGTGTTTCCTGGGCAGGGTGCGTGGCCAGTGAGAACACAGCGGTGCCCCCCCCCGCATCTGTCCCCACCACATGGTGTGCCACTTAGCTCAGTAGGCAACAGGTCTGTGGGTGGAGCAGAACCCTCCCCCCATCTCCCCATCCCCCACCCCCTGCCAAAGGAGGACTGAGAGCAGAAACTGTGAGAAGGAGAGACAGATCTCATCCTCGCCACCGCCGATGATTCAGGGCCGACGTCCTGAGATAATTTTATTGGGGGCATTAAACTGAGTTATGAGGTTTTTACAGTCCAGCCACTTATGAGAAATCTATTAACAGTAACTGGACAGGAAGAAGGCTTCTCAGTAGAGCTCGGGACGGGCATTAATTGGGGCAATCTATAACAGGACGGGGACCCGGAAAGCTTCCACCCGACGCCTCCATTTACTCCCCGCGATTTCTGCTGAGAATCAGCAGACTCGCCAAAAAGGAGAGAGATGCCCATTAATCGGCTAATGAAATATGAAAATGTTTATGAGCCATTCAATCTTCCAAATGGCACTTCTATAATCCACCTTTCAGACACCAAGTTCCACCAGTAGAATTTACGCCCCGGTTCCTCCCTCGTGGCAGGGGGCAGGCTCTCCTCCCCCATCCCCAGCTCCCTGGCACCTGTTGTACTTGGGGTGTATGTGGGGGGGATTGGGTTCATGACAAAGGGGACCCCAAAATGGGTCTTAGAGATGGTCTCCTTAATGCCCATCTCCACAGAAACACAGAGGGCAACAGGACATTCACTGATACATATTTTTTCTGCTGATTGTGGGGCTTGAATTCAGGGCCTGGGTACTGTCCCTGAGCTCCTTTTGCTCAAGGCTGGCACTCTACCACTTTGAGCCACAAGGCTACTTCCAGTTTTCTGGTGGTTAATTGGAGATAAGAATCTCATGGACTCTCCTGTCCAGGCTGGCTTTGAATTTTGATGCTCAGGTACCAGTTCCTGAGTAGCTAGTATTACAGGCATGAACCACCAGTGCCAGGCTTGTTGTTGTTGTTGTTGTTTTCTGGTTTTGTTTTTGCAGACCATTTCTTGCTGGTTCCTCCCCGTCCTCCCCTACCCCTCCCCCCATCTCAGTGTAGTGAAAACAGCCTGGGGTCTAGCACCTAGCACTACCAGAGGGAAATTGCAGTTATACTGAATGACTATCTCATAAGAATAATAACAAGGGCTGGGAAGGTGGCTCAGTGGTAGAGCGTTTGCCTTGCATGCTCAAGGCCCTGGGTTCGATTCCTCAGCACCACATAAGCAAAAAAGAAAAAACTGGAAGTGGTACTGTGGCTCAGGTGGTAGAGCGCTAGCCTTGAGCTGAAGAGCTCAGGGGCAGCGCCCAGGCCCAGAGTTCAGGCCCCACGACCAGAAAAAAAAAAAAAAAAAAAAGAAGAATAACAAAGTTACTACCTATTGCACGCTTTTTATGTGTGGGACAGGGCAGGTTTTCAGCTGGCACAGATGAGTTGTATTGGTGGTGAAAGTATTTGCATAAGTCTTTGCATATTTGCATAAACAGTCCTTCTTCTTTTCTACCTCAATGCTCAGCTCCCCCCTCCCCTCCTGCAACCCAGTCCACCTTGCGCCTACCTGGCTGGGTGTTCCCTTCTGCGGGCTTTCCATGGAACACGCCCTGCCACGCTGGCTCTTGGATATTTATTGCATGTGCCATTGTGCCAGGCAGCTGCTAAGCGAGCGCCTTAGGGGCTTGTCACTCAGGAAGCCCCTTGGCTCCTCCAGGAGGACATGCTGTTATGATTGCTATGTCACACTTGAAGCCACAGGCCCAGAGAGACCTAGCAACTCGTACAAAGGCACACCGGAGGCGGATGTCCGAGCCATGGTTTAGCCAGGCTGCACCGCCTCTCCCTTTCTGTGAGCTTTAGGGCAGAGCGAGGCAGCCCAGATTCCGGAGCCAGACAGTTCCTGATGTGGTCCAGCGCGTCCTCCCACTTCATCCTTGTAGGAAAAGGAAGGCCTGTTTTAGAGTCTTGGTGTAAGGCGTATGCACGGGGCTCAGCTCAATGCCTGGTGCATGGCAGGCACGCGACAACAGCATCCCTGTCCTCCGCCATCCCTTTCCATCCTTCACCCACGCGCTGCCCCAAGTCCTGAGCCCCCTCGCGAATAGCCCTGGAGCCTAGAGCCCAGAGAGCCGCCATGAGCCAGCCGCTGGCATGGTTAGAGAGGCAGACCGGAAGCCGCTGGCATGGTTAGAGGCAGACCGGAAGCCGCTGGCATGGTTAGAGAGGCAGACCGGAAGCCGCTGGCATGGTTAGAGGCAGACCGGAAGCCGCTGGCATGGTTAGAGGCAGACCGGAAGCCGCCCCCTCACTCCTGCTGCGGCTGAGCTGGGTGTGGCCGGGACAGCAGGTGCTCTGTGCGCCTCCCGCAAGGCTGGGCGAGGTGCTGAGGTGGCGGCCAGGGGGACAGGCCCAGAGACCTTTCTAGAAGGGAGAGTGGAGCCCGGGGCTCGGCAGGCCTGGGGTCCGCCTTCGCCTCCACCGGCCAACCACCCTGCCTCCCCAGATCCACTCGGACTCCGACGAGGGTGACGGGGCCATCAAGTACACCATCTCCGGCGAGGGCGCCGGGACCATCTTCCTGATCGATGAGCTGACGGGCGACATCCACGCCATGGAGCGCCTGGACCGGGAGCAGAAAACCTTCTACACGCTGCGGGCCCAGGCTCGAGACCGCGCCACCGACCGGCTGCTGGAGCCCGAGTCGGAGTTCATCATCAAGGTGCAGGACATCAACGACAGCGAGCCGCGCTTCCTGCACGGCCCCTACATCGGCAGCGTGGCGGAGCTCTCGCCCACAGGTGGGCGGGGCCGGGGCGGGGCCGGGGTGGAGGAGGGGCGGGGCCTAGGGTGGGAAAGGCAGGGCCTGATGGTCAGGGGCGGGGCCTGATGTAGGGAAGGCGGGCCTAGAGCAGGGGCGGGTGGGAGGGGCAGGGCTTGTGGGGGAGGGGCGGGGCCTGAGGTGGAGGAGGCGGGGCCTCTTCCCTCCTCTCCCCACCGTGGGGCTGCCTAGCTCTGCTAAGAGCCTACAAGAGCCACAGAATAGGCAGATATGCTGCCCCAGGCCTGGGGAAGGGGGGAAAGTGGTGGTGGTGGTAGACCAGAACCCAGGTGTCCACTGAGGCCAGACGTAGCCCCAGCTGCACACCCCCTGACCTCAGCCAGGTCCCCACACACATGGATACCGAGGCACGCTTCTCCCGTGGTCACACACACATCTACAAGTGCACAGCCATGGAGAGACACCACCTCACACACAGACAGCCTCCAGACCAGTCACACACACACACACACACAGGTGCCACTGTGCCCCTTCTAGAAAGTTCAACCTGCCCCGGGACACACTCCCACTCAGATGCCATTCTGTCTCCAGGCACAAGGAACTAAACACCAGCCCCAGCCTCGATGGGGTCGGGCCTCACACCTGGCCACCACTTCTACCTGGATATAATAGCCACACAGGACACAGCGTCAGTGTGCCCAGCCACCTGCTTGGGCACGGGGAGAGCCCCAGGCAGACACTCCCGTGCTCAGCCTGGGCCAGCAGGCATGATCACCACGCAGACCGCTTTGCTCACTACACTCAAGGAAGCCCCATTTCTTTAAGACCCATTGCTGGGGGCCCCCAGGGAGGCCCGGAGGGACCCTGAGACCCAGACACAGAGTTGGGAGCACATCTGCGGGCATGTTATGTAACCAGCGGTGCAGCACACAGCTGTACAAGTAGAGAAGGAATCAGATGTTCCAAAACACCCATCTGCCAGAAGCCATGAGACACAGCCCACTCAGAACACGGGCACCCACAGCGCACTGAGACTAGAGGCCGTGGGACCCAGATAGCTGTCTAGACAATGGGGCCCCCTTATCCTGGGCTCCTGGGCTCTGGCAATCATGGAGTGACCAGTAAGCTGCTACCTTCTGCCCTATTGTCTGAGTTCAGGTCAGCCGAGAGCCACAAGGAACAGCAGCATAGGTCCTAGACCAGGCCCAACGCAACCTGCTGTAGCCCAGGCTCAGGGCTGCCTCTCTTGGACCTCCAGCTGTTGGGCTGCATGGTAGAGGCCAGGCAGGGTTCTGGGGGAAGGGGCCTCCAGGTCAGCTTGCCCAGGTTCCCCAATCTGATGCCTTGTAGGCAGTGTGCGTTGTGCAGTGTGATAGAGGAAAGGTGGCCAGCAGGTAGGGCTGGATGAAGGGCACCAGGAGAATGGTGCACCTGTGCATTCGGGGAACCTGTGCTGCCCACATCCGAGTATGGGTGTGCACACGCACAACTTGACGGGGGCCATTTAAGACCTGTGCATTTATTCCTGTGACATGCTGTGCGTCTGCTGGAGTGTATTTATGTATCCATTGATTTAGTGCCTGTTCGTTGAATGCCTACTATGTGCTTAGCACTGGGGCCATAGTAAGACAATCCCCCCTGAGGTTGTGAAGAATATACTCTAGCTAAGACAGGCAGACAGTGACATAATCAATGACTGTGAGGATGTGACATTAAAGCAATGCTCCCTGGAGGAGCATTTCGGGCAGAGGGAACAGTGTATGCAAAGGCCCTGGGGTTGAAGAAAAGCAGCAAGGTGATCAGATTATACCGCCATGATCAAAACCAGGGCTTTGCTTTTTTATGCTGAGCAAGCCAGAGGATTCTGTTCAGAAGCATGAGCTGATCTGGCTTAAATTTTGTTTTTTGTTTTTGTTTTTGGTCAGTCATGGAGCTTGAACTCTGGGTGTGGGCCCTGTCCCTGAGTTTTCTCACTCAAGGCTGGTGTTCTACCACGTGAGCCACAACACCTCTTCTGGTTTTCTGGTGCTTAATTGGAGATAAGAGTGTCATGGACTTTCTTGCCTGGGTTGGCTTTGAACTGCAATCCTCAAATCTCAGCCTCCTGAGTAGCTAGGATGACAGGTGTGAGCCACCAACACCTGGCTTCTGGCTTAAGTTTTGCCAGCTTCGTGCAGCTGCTCCCTGGATGTGGTCGGACAGGGCCAGGACTAGATTGTGCTTGGGGCAGTTGCCAAGATGGGCTGTGGTGGTGACTTGGAGCTCGGTGGCACCCACGGAGGTGTAGAGATGAGGTTGGCTTTGTGGCTACCATTTGAAAGCAGAGCTGAAAGTGTTTGCTAATGGGCTGGGGGTGTGAGAGAGGGGGAAAGCTCTCTAAGATGACAGTGGGGATTTGACCTACGTGAGTTCCATTTGCTGAGCAGGAGGAGCAGACGGGGAGATGAAGGGGAGGTGGGGGTGTGGTTTCAGTCCTTCCTTGCTAGTCCAGCGCAGGTCTTTGAACAGGCAGTGGCTGGGAGGGCAGGGTCGGTGGGGAGGTCTGGGCGGCTGAGATCAATTTGGACGTTGTCAGCAGCCAGGGCACCTGGAACTGAAGAGCGAACCCAGCAAGAATGCAGAAATTGATTGTGCAAATGGAGGAATGGGCTCAGAGAGGCAGGCCCCACGTCAAAGGTCACACAGGAAGCCAGAGGCGGCCCACGTTCCCCCAGCCCAGCCCTGCAGCCCCGCTCCTCACTTAAACTCTGCCCTAAGAAGACCTGGTCTTGTCTGCCTTTGCTTCAAACCGACCACCAGGAAGGTGGTGAGTGCGGTCACTAAAGGGGAAATGGAGTTCATATCTGAAAGGATCAAGGGAAGCAGGCAGCAAGCAGGCAAGAGGAACCCAGGCCAACTTGTCTTTTTTTATTTTATTTTATTTTTGCTGGTCCTAGGGCTTGAACTCAGGGCCTAGGCTCTGTCCCTGAGATTCTTTTTGCTCAAGGCTAGTGCTCTACCACTTAAGTCACAGCACTGCCTTTTTCTGAGTCGTTTGTGGGAGATCTGAGTCTCACAGACTTTGCTGCCTGGGCTGGCTTCAAGCCACGATCCTCAGATCTCAGCCTCCTCAGTAGCTAGGAATAGCTAGAACTACAGGCATGAGCCAACAGCACCCAGCTCCAACTTGGCTTTTGAAAGCTGCTGCTCACCTTTGGAGCTGGGAGGGAGTCCGTGATACCAGATACCGCTGGTGGTGGCTGATGCCTGTAATTGTAGCTACTCAGGAAGCTGTGAGCCGAAGATCACAGTTCATAGCCAGCATGGGCAGGGAAATCCGTGAGACCCTTATCTCCAATTAACCACCAAAAAGATGGAAGTAGAGCTGTGGTTTATGTGGTAGAACACCAGCCTTGGGTGAAAAAACTCAGGGACAGGGCCCAGGCCCTGAGTTCAAGGCTCAGAACCGGTACCAATAGGACAAAAACTACCTCACAATGGAGAACAGGTTCCTCCCACAGCCACTGCAGTGGCCTGTCTGTCCTTTACTTCCTGTCCATCCCTACTTCTCCCTCCCTGGGGCTCCAGTGTAGGGCTGAGCAGATGGGAATACTCAGGCCAAGAGGGAGGGAAAGATGCACCCAGTCCCTGGGAAGCCTGCGAATGCTCAGCGGCTGGGCTCCCCACCCCCGCCCATGCCTGTCCCCCCTTCCTTCCCCCCGGATTGTTAGAGGTACAAGGATCCTTAAATTTCACAGATAGGGACACTGGGTCCAGGAGGGGCCGGGCTCATCCAAGGTCACACGGATGGTGGGAAGCCCTGGCTCGAGTTCCAGCCGCACCTCCCTCTCCCAGCCCGCCAGCTCCCACATCACACTTAGAAGAAAGGAAGGCCGGGTGACTCAATTTGGACAAGCCGGGAGAACCCAAGAGGGAGAGGGAAGAGGCAGAAATTAAATTAGTTTATTTCATTTGAGCAACTTTTTTGAAAGGGAAGCAGATCTGACAGCCGGGCGCACGCAGGAACTCCGGGATGCTTTGAAAATCAGTCACAATTACTGAGCCTCCTGATCCGGGCTGGGCAGGGCGGTGCGGACAAGCGGCAGTGGGGCCCAGCGGCCGGCAGATCAGAGGGAGCCGGGGCGCGGCTTGGGACATGAAAGGCAGCCGTGCGCAAATTAAACCACTCAGAGCTTAAAAGGCGAAGGAAGTGGGGGGGGGCTAGCTTCTAAGGAGGGGGCCCGGCCTCCCCGTGCCCACACAACCTTGGGCCTGGCCCTGCCCTCCTTGTGAGAATGGAGGGGGTTCATTCAGGCCACAGATACTTATTGAGTGACCACTCTATGCCCCATGCCATTCCAGCCACCAGGCATCCTTAGGAAGCCCCTCTATGACGACAGGGAGGAAATGAATGAGCAGATGGATGGCGTCCTGTGGTGTGAAAGCTACGAACTCCTGGCCACGCTGCCTACTGTGGGTCTCACTTGGAGAACTATAGAGCCAGAAAGAGAATGTTCCAGGCACAAGAAACTGCAAGTGCAAAGGCCCTGAGGTGCAGTGGGCTTGTCACATTTGTGGGCTAGCCAGGAGGTCACTGTGAAGAGGCGTGAATGGAGGGGGAAGAGTATCTGAACACCTAAGAAGACAGACCAGCAGCCAGGAGGGGTGGCTCAGGCCTGTAATCTTAGCTACATGGGAGGCAGAGATCCATGGGAGGCCATAAAAGTTTGAGAGACTATCTCAACCAATGACAAAGGAAAGCACAAATAGGAGGATCACAGTATCCAAGCTGGCCTGGGTTTAGAGAGAGAGATAACAACCAATGCAAAATGTCTGGCAGAATGACTCAAGGAGTAGAGTGCCAGACGAGCAAGCATGAAGCCCTGAGTTCAAACCCAAGTACTGTGCGGAAGGGAGGGAGGGGGGAAGAAAGGAGGGGGGAAGAGAGAGGGAAAGAAGGGAAGGGAAAGGAACGGAGAGAGGGAGGGAGAGAGGGAAGGAGGGAGAGATGGAGGGAGGGTAAAAAGGAGGGAGGGAAGG